CTCACAACTGTTTGCAATGGCCTGAGTCCAAACCTATTCCCTTTCCCTGCATGCCTGCAGCCTGAGGAACTACTCTCACATCTGTTCAGGTGCAGAAAGGGGTGTGTGTGTCCCCTCCCTCCATTTTGAAACTTCCAGGAACCCATTCACTGCCACCAAAACACAGTGTCTGCTGGGCTGAACTGAAGCAGCTGCCATGTCATGTCAGACCTTTGGTCCATCTAGCTTTGCATTGACTAGACGGCCCTGGCTCTCCAGGGTTTCAAACAGCAGATTTTCCCAGTCCCATCTAGAGATGCTGGGGACTGAACTTCTGCTCGCAGAGTATGTGCTCTATCACTGAGTTACGGCCATTCCCCAAGATTTTTCATGCAGTATTTCCAGTCTAAATAGCAGCGGTACACCGGACTGTGTAATAAGTGCAATCAGAAAACCTATAGCAAGTTAGTGACGGAGTATTGTGAGGGTGGATGACTTTGCCTTGTCCTTTTATGAAAACTTTTTGGGATTCTCCTCGCAAGTCTGGGCTACTTTTCTTATGACAGTCGAAAATGGCTACTTTCTCTTATTCTCTCTCTTTAAACTAAACAGACCTTAAACTAATTGCAGTAATGTTGTTAACATGGCACAACGGCCTCTTTTTCATATTTAATGTTCTGCAAGCCTAAAGAAGCTAATTATTTAAATTAAGGGATAATGTTCACAATGAAGTATATGAGGCAATAAAAGGCAGGCAGACAATTAAACACCGAAGTGAAGTTCAGGAGCCTGGTATCTGTTCAAGCTTCTTTTCACACGAAGTGTCCAGTGTGCCAGTGCATTCCTTTTCTCCAAATAAAAACAATAAATTTATAACAATAAATATATATATTACATCCATTATAAGCATTCTCCCTTGTGGGAGCAGTCAAAAATGGATACCCCCACCTGTAGTCTGAAGTGCATCCTCCCCAAGAGGGTTGTACCATGTTTTATTTCTGCATCCACCATCCAGCTTTAAGAGAACGATCTGGAAGTTGCCTCATGCACCTCAGGAGCTGGCACAAAGTCAAAGTAGTAGAGGATCTGTGCTCATGGTGAAGCAATCAGATAATATTTTCCACATCCCTCACAAGTTTAGCAAGCCGTGCCTTGACAAATATTGTTTAGGGCACCCATGTCACAACTGACATACCACTACTTTAAGTCAATCTACATGGCTTTTGCCACCATGTGATGAGATGTCCAGGTGTAGTGGATCATCATCCAGACTAGGTAGCTTTTTCTAATCCAGATCTGTAGTGACATGGGGGGACGGACCAATTCAATCGGTGCCTTGAGATAAACTTACGTGTGGTTCATCACATGATAACATCCCCACATGGCTTTCAGCTGTCCAGTCATGTTATATGCACTAGAGTCTAGTTTGAGTTGATATCAACACAATGACTACTGCAAAGATGCCCCAAAATGACTTTTATAGAAACACAGATTTGCAGAGTTGGAAGGGATCCCAAGAGTCGTCTACTTCATCCTCCTGCAATGCAGGAATCTCAACTAAAGCATACATGACAGGTAGCCAGTCAACCTCTGCTTTAAAACCTCCAAGGAAGAAGACTCCCACCTTCTGAGGGAGTCCATTCCACTGTCAAAACAGCTCTTACTGTCAAACAGTTCTTCCTGATATTTAGTCAGAAACTCCTTTCTTGTAACTTGATTCCATTGGTTTGGGTCAAACCTTCTGGACCAGGAGAAAACAAGCTTGCTCATCTTCCATGTAATAGCCCTTGAGATATTTGAAGATGGTTATCATACCTCCTCTTAGTTTCCTCATATCTAGGCTAAACATACCCGGCTACTTCAACTGTTGCTCATAAGGCTTTGATTCCAGGCCCTTGATCATCCTGGTTGCCCTTCTCTCAACACCTTCCAGATTGTCAATATGTAAATTCATACATGCACAAGGATATGAGCATTCTGACATACTTTCCCCCTTGATGCTTATCCCATAGTACATGTGGCAGTGAGACTTCTTTTTTCCATGTTCATTTGTACAACGTTACAAAGTAAAAATCAGATAAAAGTGGTCTGGCATGTACACAAATGTCAGAACAATAATTTCTAAAGAAAGCTACATAATAACTTTTCCCAACAACCACATCCTGTTGTCTTAGTACAACTACGAAGACAAATTATGACCACAAACACTAAATACAACTGCTAATAGCAAGCAATATATTACTTTTAATAGCAAGCAATGTTTTAGTTTAATAGCAAGCAATATTTTACTTTAATCTTTTTTGGGGAAACGTTTTTATCTACAGTGTCTCTAAGGTGCTAACAACCAATGTTTTCATTTGATAAAAAACATTGGCTTTGTTTGCATGCACAAGCCTTGCCCCACTAGCACTATCTCATTCCTCCTCGTGCAGCACAATTGTAGACTACTTGGTTAACTAAGCATAGTTTTCTGTTACTATGTAACCAGAATACTATGTTTACAAGGTACTGCAGTTTGTATTCCTGGTTTGCCCCGAACCTGCTATCTATAGTTTCTTTGTTCAGATATTACAGGAAACTATGGTTATTTAACCCAGGAAGTTTTCGATCATGGCACGCCAAGAAGGGGTGGCATGAAGGCAGAACTTGCTTGCACAAAGCTAGTGCATGTCTTGGCTTAATAAGCTGAGATATGTAGGTCCAAACTGGGTGTATTGTTAAGGGCTCTTTTTAAGACAATTCAGTTGCTTACTGGTCCTGAGAGATAGGTCTTTGCACACACCAATATGTACATTAATAGAGATCGCATAAAATATGTGAGAGCAATAGTATGCATTCAAATGATGCTCAAAAATCATTTTTTTTTTAAAGAGAGAGAATTAAAAAACCCACAAATGAAAATACAAACTGTCTAAGCTCAGATACTAGAGGTTTTTTTTTTTTTTGCACTGTATATAACTATGTCAGAGTACAACCGGAGAAATCAATAGGCATGCCATGTTAATTTCAACGAGTCTACTCTGAGTTGGATACCTAACAGGATATATAATAGCAACATAACCCTAACCAACAGCAACAGTGTCTCATGTACAACAGAAGATATAGGGGAAAAAGCTCACTGCACAGAAGACCATTAAATGACCCAAAATGAAGATGGGAAAGGAGGTAAAGTATGATCAGTGAACAGAACATACGGGAAAGGAAGAGTAATCTGTGCTAAATGATGCACAGGGTGAACTGTGCTAAATGATGAAAAATAAGAAGCATAAACATAAGGTGTGTGTCTTGCTCAAACAAGCCCTGCCTCTAATACCCTGGCTCTACTTCAGATCTGTATGTTCACCACCAAAGCCCATTGAATGTGGTCATAATCCTCCCTGAATTCAGGAATCCTATACAATCAGCATTCCGAACTGAAGGGGCAATTCTAACTGTGTTCGGCTGATAGCAGTTAGATTCTTGCCGCAGAGGTTTCTGCTCACTGTACAAAAAAGAACAGATAGTGATATTGGGAGGCAGGGCTGGTGTGTGCCCCTGAAACACCATACACAGTTTGAGCCCTTACACTTTCTTTTGAATGTCTGAAAACGGTGTGTGTGTGTGTGTGTGAGAGAGAGAGAGAGAGAGAGAGAGAGAGAGAGAGAGAGGAGAGAGAGAGGGGGGGTATGTCTGGTACTATTCACATGTGGAACAGTTTAATGTTCCCATTGTACAGAGTATGTAAAATACTCTGGCATCGGACTAGGTTAATCTTCTGGCTGAGATAATATTCACTCTTCTGTGGTTACTTCAGGCGTTTACCACCATTTAGTTGAAACATTCCATAGCAAGAAGATTGACAAACTGAACCCAGCTACCAATAGTTTAGATTAAAACCACTGAACAAATGAAAAAGAAAGAAGTCAAGCTTGTACAGTGGTACCTCGGGTTACAGATGCTTCAGGTTACAGACTCTGCTAACCCAGAAATAGTACCTCAGGTTAAGAAGTTTGCTTCAGGATAAGAACAGAAATTGTGCTCTGGTGGCGTGGCAGCAGCGGGAGGCCCCATTAGCTAAAGCGGTGCTTCAGGTTAAGAACAGTTTCAGGTTAAGAACGGACCTCCAGAGCGAATTAAGTTCTTAACCCGAGGTACCACTATATCTTCTGCAGAGATGAAAGATGCTAAAACACTGCCCCTTTCAGATAAACACGTCTTAACTGCCCTGCTGCAGGCCATCCAGTAAGCACCTCTGCAGTTGCCCCATGTGTGCCACTACTGGGTCATTCCCCATTCCAAGAAAATGTGGAATGGGCCACCAACGTGCATTTAGCAATGAACAATAGCCAATCACAATCCCTTGAAGAGCATACATTTCAAGCATGTGTTTGTGTCATGTTCACAATTTACATCACTACCATTACACTTAAAATGTATTGACTGTACACTTAATAATTTAATGTCTTTAAAAAGCAGGAAGAATAAAGTAACAGGATCCCGCACTAAATTATGAACAAAGAAATATTTATAATGAAAAAGCAGCTTTCACACGGCCATTTCTTTTGGAATGCTGGAGCTTCTGACAGCAGAAATTGAAATTCTATTGCAGCATGTACAAGCAGTTGATCCATAAGCGAGGCTCATAAAACTATGGGTTTATGCAAACTTAAACTGAAATATAGATGTTGCTACTTTGGCAAACAATTCTGTTGAGTGTTTATTTCAATCTTTGGGGGAATTTAAAGGATTCACCAATCTAATTTTGTAACTCACAAATCTAGGAGCCAAGGCATAGCTCTGTAATTATGTACATTTGCAAAGCAATTATATTTGTTAGTACTGTACATTTTAAATGTGAACAAGTTCCTGCTGTAACGTCTGCAGATATATGCAAATGAAAGAGAATGAACATTATAAAACTGTAGGGAAAAGGAGAGGTTTTCTCTTGGGTGCCTCTGCTTCTGCAAGAATACATTTGGGTCTCTGTTTAATGGTACTATACAGCCAATTAAGTTAGAAGATAGGAATTTTTTAACTCTTACCCTTATTCTCACAGTGACAGTAGCAAGGCCTGGAGGCATTGTTCCCCCAATATCGAAGGCTTCCACTAAAAAAGTGAATGCTGCATCTGGGTCAGGAAATGACTCAAAATCCAAGGACTTTATAAGTGACAGGTCCCCGTTAAATCTGTTCAGTGAAAAATACTGCAACGCTTCCCGGGTTCGTATTCCATAGGTAATATTGGCTCCAAGGTCAATATCCTTAGCCTAGAAGACATAAGGAACATTATTTTGGCTTCCAGCAAAGACAGTATACAGAGATTTCATTTAAAAACACCACCACCACCACTTGGGAGGCCAAAAGTTATTATTGCTTAATTTAATCTGAGTAATTACGTTTCCCCAAATTGTTTTTCCCCCCTAAAAATATATATAAAAAATCCATTGACACAATATATTGGATCCAATAAATCCTAACACAGGCACTTCTGTTCTTCTGAACTCCAGACTGTAGGCACAATACCTCCATGAAAACACAAACCCACAGAAACAGACACAGAGACAGAAGGAGCTCTTTTCTCTACCCCACACACCTTGGTGTGCATTGTCCTTTACCTGGAATAGGAGGCTGATATGCCTACATATATAGTGCTTTCTTCCCTCCCCAGGATCCTGAGAATTAAATTACTCCTATGCCACTGAACCATATTGCAATTGTTCACTGTGCAGCTATATAGGAGGAGGTCAGCTATTTTGCCCTGTGTTTATAAGGCCACAGTTTTGTGACTTGGCATGAAAAATGGGATAGGAGGTAGGGAGAAAGCATCTTGCACTGGATTACAGGCAACCTGTTTGTACTGCAAGAGTCTGAAGATGCATATAGATCTCTACTGGCTGCAACAGCTTTCTCAGCCATTTCATGACCACATGTGAATTTCTTGGCACACAAAGATCTTTTTTCTCCTTTGGACAAATGGGTTTGTGCACATCTTGAACAAATCCCGGAGTACCTTCAGACCCCCCCCCCCAATTATAATGCATATGCTTTCTCTTGCTAGTATAAAAGTTTTTGCTCCACCATGACCTCCCTGCCAATTTGGATACAATAAAGGAACTGGAGGCCCCTCGACTGTCCTCGGGTCCAGTATTGGACCACTTCGACCGGATATCCCCAGCCGATGTGGACAGACTCCTCCGAGCTGGAAAGCCCACCACCTGTCCTCTCGACCCGTGCCCGTCTTGGCTGATTAGAGCGTGTCCAGACGAGGTGCGGGCCCTCCTGGGGGATATCATCAATTTGTCCCTTGGCACGGGGACATTCCCAGGGGAACTGAAGGAGGCAGTGGTGCGCCTGCTCTTAAAGAAAACATCATTAGATACTTTAGATCTATCCAATTACCGCCCGGTTTCGAATCTTCCATTCCTGGGTAAGGTGATTGAGAGAGCGGTTGCTGAACAGCTTGGTGGGTTTCTGGATGAAACATCGGCTCTGGATCCATTCCAGTCCGGCTTCCGCGTTGGTCATGGGACCGAGACGGCTCTGGTTGCCCTAACAGATGATCTTCGTAGACAGCTGGATCGAGGCGGGTCGGGGCTGCTGATTCTTCTAGATCTGTCAGCAGCTTTCGACATGGTCGATCACGAACTTCTGGACCACCGCCTTGCCGACATGGGGATCCAGGGCACAGTCCTTCAATGGCTGCGCTCGTTTCTCTCTGGTCGGGGACAGAGGGTGGCGCTTGGGGGGGGGAATTGTCATCACGCCACTCCTTGGTGTGTGGAGTACCTCAGGGTGCGATACTCTCCCCGATGCTTTTCAACATCTTTATGCGCCCCCTCGCCCAGCTTGTTCGGAGTTTTGGGCTGGGTTGCCATCAGTATGCCGATGACACCCAACTCTATCTGTTGATGGATGGCCATCCTGACTCGGCCCCAGACACACTGACCAGATGTTTGGAAGCTGTGGCTGGATGGTTACGTGGGAGCCGGTTGAAGCTAAATCCTTCGAAGACAGAGGTCCTGTGGCTGGGATGGGTCGATATGGGATGGGGGGGGGCAACTCCCATCTCTTGCGGGGGCGCAATTAGTGCCAGCACCGTCCGTTAAGAGTTTGGGTGTAATCTTCGACACCTCCCTTTCCATGGAGGCGCAGATTGCAGCTATAACAAAGGCGGCATTTTTCCATCTCCGCCAAGCTAAGCAGTTGGCTCCTTACCTCTCTCGCCCTGACCTAGCCACTGTGATCCACGCGATGGTCACCTCCAGACTGGATTATTGTAACTCGCTCTACGTGGGGCTGCCCTTGAGACTGACCCAGAAACTCCAGCGGGTGCAGAATGCTGCAGCGAGACTCCTTACGAGGTCTTCGCTGCGAGATCACATTCACCCGGTGCTATACCAGCTTCACTGGCTCCCGGTGGAGTACAGGATCAGGTTTAAGGTGCTGGTTTTAACCTTTAAAGCCCTATATGGCCTAGGACCCTCGTACCTACGGGACCGCCTCTCCTGGTATGCCCCACAGAGAAACTTACGGTCTTCAAATAAAAACATCTTGAAGGTCCCAGGCCACAGAGAAGTTAGGCTGGCCTCAACTAGAGCCAGGGCTTTTTCGGCTGTGGCTCCGATCTGGTGGAACACTCTGTCACAAGAGACCAGGGCCCTGCGGGACTTGACATCTTTCCGCAGGGCCTGCAAGACAGAGCTGTTCCACCAGGCCTTTGGCCAGGGCACAGCCTGACTCCCTCCCTCGGCAATCTTCGCGGAGCTCCGGCCCAATGGTTGCCAGTGGCTTGAATTAATTAATTTTTATAATGAATGATTTTAGAATGTTGTTTATGCTGTACTTTTGTACTGTTTTATTGTTGTTAGCCGCCCTGAGCCCGGCTTCGGCTGGGGAGGGCGGGATATAAATAAAAATTATTATTATTATTATTATTATTATTATTATTATTATTATTATTATTATTTGCTTTACAATCATGAAAATAGTAAGGAAGCTAAAACAAGTTGCTGAATTTCAAGAAGTCTTCAAGGTGCAATCAGGGGTAGGGAACCTCCAGCTGTTTCTGGATTGTGTCATTCTAACAATTAGACATGTTGTTGGGGGCTGTGGGTAAGTTGAAATTCAACAGTGTTTGGAGGGCCACAGGTTCCCTTTTCCTGTAGTTTACTGTATCTGTACCATAAGAAAGGAGTTAGATTCTATTAAGAAGACTTTATTAAATTCAAGGAGATGCTGAGATTAATAAGGAGTCATAATTCAGGAATTCAATTTTTTAAAGTACCATTTTGGGGTGGGGAAGAAGATCTAATGGTGCCTCAAGATATTTTAGTATTAATCTAATTTCAAATATTGATGATCTTTCTTTTAATTAATTTATTATGAAGACTGCCAGTGTTATAGACTGCCTTTTGTAGGTTAAAAACTTAATATAAATCCCAGAAATAAATGATTAGAAGTTTTAATTTTTTCTTTTAAGAGATCGCCAACTAGGTGGACTGGTTTTGATGCAATACGATTAAGATATATTCTTCTTCACAGAGAATATTCAGGAAACTCATGGCTCTCTTACCTCTAAACGTAAGAAGACAGTGCCTGGGGGCAGGTTTTCAGGAATAGTCACTGTATAGGAGGCATTCGTGAACACAGGGCTGTTGTCATCAATATCCAGAACTTTGATTCCCAGAGTTAACGTTGTACGGCGGGCATCCACAGCTCCATCTGTTGCTTCAACAATGAGTTCATAATAGTCCCTGTTTTCTCTATTTAGCTTCACTGAAGTGTAAATACTGCCATTGGATGTTATGCGGAAAAGATTGTTGAAGTTTGCCAAACTGTAACGGACTTGACCATTTACTCCAGCATCTGGGTCAGTAGCCTAAAAGATAAGGGAGGGGAAGAAACATGAAATCAGGAGTTTGTAGCACAAATAGACCCTTTTCAGGTTAATGGAAGGAATTCAGATTCTTTGATATCAGATTCATAGCCCCACAACCCTAAGAAAGCATGGGCATCCAGGGCCACTAATCCAAACCTCCTTGACAGAAATCCAGCTTCAAAAAAGCAAGGTCCCTGAAGGTTGTGGGAAGGTGCAAAAATAAGCCTACATAGCTGCCTGGGGTTGCTCTAAAACTGGATGCAGGAATGCTAAATTCAAGTAGGGACCAGGAATTAAGAAGAAGGCTAGGAAGTCCACACCTGCAACGAATAGTTAAGCAGTAAGGATAAATAAACAGTAGCCGGTACAATACTCCATACAGACCCATTTCCCAAAGTCTACACTTTTTTCCTGAATCTCTTGAATTATATCTATAATGAAAAGAAAGAAACTCTGCTTGCTTCCACTTTCTGCTGGGTGTTACTAGTTGCCAGGGTGAATGAAATCCTCGACTCTGTTCCTTTGGTCACTTGCTGCCAGTCCTACTTGGACCCACATCCAGCCCTGCTCCATTCCTCCATTAGAACCATAGAAGAGGAACAGAACTCAGAATATCAGCAGATGTGACACCATACCTCCTCTTCTCTTTACCTTAAATCAATCAAGGCATAAGTAAGTTGGCTGCAAAAGAGAAGGGAATGCCTGCTTGAGTAAGGCAATTTCATTTGTGCACATTTCTAAGAGCCTGCAGATAACACCCCACAAGTTGTTACATAACTTAAAAGTCCCTGGTTATCAGCACTACTGTCAGGAAGTTTCCAAAGACATTTAATATCCTGCCATGGTGCTCAGTGGGAGGCATAATAATGAAACCATTTATCTTCATGGAAATCAATTAAAAGTTAATTAAAATGGTTAATAAAAATCACACACTTGTTTCTCTTTTGTACTACATCAACACAATAAACATTGGTGGTTTCAGCTTTATTTGTGTCTCAGGTTAACACATCCTTGCAAACAACACCTTATCAAAGGTGCCTATGTGGTGCCTACTGTGGCTTCTGCAATATAAGTGTTAATGTTTAGAGAGTTGAAAGAAGCTGCTTTCACTGGGATGGGGGGCTCAGGTACAATAGTAGCATATGCTGCACAGGTTACATTTTTGCCTGATAGGCTGCTGCTAGATGAATAGGATCTGTGCCCCAAGATTACCATTTTAGACACACATTCAGCAGGTGCAACATTTACTACTAGATTATCTGCTTCTCCATCCAACATCTACAGTGGTACCTCACAAGACGAATGCCTCGCAAGACAAAAAACTCGCTAGACGAAAGGGTTTTTTTGTTTTTTGAGCTGCTTCGCAAGACGATTTTCCCTATGGGCTTGCTTTGCAAGACGGAAACGTCTTGCAAGTTTGTTTCCTTTTTCTTAACACCGTTAATACAGTTGCGACTTGACTTCGAGGAGCAACTCATAGCACGCGGTGTGGTAGCCTTTTTTTGAGGTTTTTAAAGACTTTGGTGATTTTTGAAGCTTTTCCAAAACTTTCCCGACACCGTGCTTCGCAAGACGAAAAAAATTGCAAGACGACAAAACTCGCGGAACGAATTAATTTCGTCTTGCGAGGCACCACTGTATTAGATTTCTGACCTCCTTAAGAGTAACCTGTCATCAGGGGCAAAAAATAGCAATCCTAGTAGGTATTTGGATATGGTAGCAACACATATAAACAGGGTCTTGTCATAAAAGTGCATATAATATGGCGGATCTCTGTTATTCTCATTTCACAGATGGGGAAATGTGTTCTCTTGTCTTCAAAACACCACCTGCTGTTGCCATTTCTGAAGGGGGAGACAGGGAAGGAGGGGGGAAGGCCATTTGGCTCAGTGCAGTCTCAGGGCCAGAGAGAGTTTCATGATCTCAGCACTGTGGCTGCCCATGTCAAGCTCCCTTCCTTGCACCTCTCCCTCTTGATAATCAGCAGCAAGGTGCGGTGTTGGGATGCTGGGAGAGCAACACAGTTCCAACCACGCAGCCCTGCCAGCTGCTACTGGGTAAGTATGTTTGTGATGCACAGTTCGATTGGAAATCTAGGCCAGGCCTCCCAAGACTGGCTGCACTGGACTTTTGCAATAAAAGCTGCTAACGGTAGCTAGTCATAGAGAGTACAAATTAAAAACATTTTTTAAAAACCTTGTTGCAAAATATTTCTTTCTTTTTTAAAGACAGAATGCATTGTGGGAATTTTAGCTGAGGGAGTAGTGACAGAATGCTCACTCAAAGCCTTAATCCATGGAGCCAATGTGTGCGCTCAGATAGTTTTGCTTTAAACAAGGGCCACATGAAAGCAATTAAACAGCTGCTAACTGGATTACAACCAACACCCATTAAGACAATAGTAAATTAAAATAGATTTATCGCTGTCTAAAATTCAACAGCCAAGTTAAGTTGTATAAACATGTAGCTCTTAATTTATCAGGGGAGCAGAAAGCGGAAATGCCCCCAAGTAACAAGAGAATTTTTATTTGTTAAAAGAACACCGCCACCGCCACACACGAAAAGTATTATTATTATTGCCATTTTCTTCATTTGAAAAGTTCAGAGCAATTTTTGCTCCAATAAACCCTCATGAAAAGCCTATAAAAGTAAATGAAGGTTTGGAAAAAGCCTATGACCCTATTACTACACTACATATCCCGAATTAGCTGAAAGAAAGAAAATCAAGACTCATGCTCAAGGGAGGAGATAAAAATATAGGAACATAAGAGTTGGTAAATGCCATAGTGGTAGAGCATCTGTTTTACCTGCTCCCAGGTTCCATCCTTGGCATCTCTAGGTAGGACTGGGAGAGACCACTCTGAAACCCTGGAGTGCCGCCATCAATCAGTATAGACAATACTGAACTAAATGGACCAATTGACTGACTTCAGATAAGTCTGTTTCCTATATTCCCAATTGCCTTGCTGGGCCCATCAAGTCTAGCTCACTGTTTGCCTTGCTGGAAGAGAAGAGAAGGTACAGCAACTTGAGGCCCACCTACCCACACTTGGCACTAATGGGCAAGATGAGGAACTTCTTGGTAGACCAGAGTGGGCTGTACTGGAACAGAATGCAGGTGGGGTGCCCTTAGGGGGAAGGGAGATTGCCAGTGCAGGAGATGAATTCCCGAAAGAACGTGACATAAAAAAGCATGCTGCTGTAAAATCAATTCCATTCCATCACCTTGGACACTGATTCTCGGCCAGAGAAGAAACAGTAGTTTCAGACCTCAGAACAAACTGGGGTGGCAATAGAAGGAAGATACCGTGCACAGAACAATTCCTGCCACTACCAAGAAAAGGAAGAGACATCTGGTAGTGGAATGTGACTCCCTTTGGAGAGGGATGGAGGAAGCTGTGTGTGGAAGGATAACTTAGGGTTTAAGTTGTCTCTATATTAATGCACAGTGTATGTGCATTAAGCAAGAAGAATTTGAGTTCTTAATACAGAAAGACAAATATGACCTAACAGACATTACTGAAACCTGGTGGGATGAGACTCATGAATGGAATGTAGAAATTGAAGGGTATAAACTATTCAAAAGGAGTAGATTAAACAGGAAGGGAGGAGTAGCAGCATTATATGTAGAAGATGAGAAGAGATCCATGACATTGAGCATGAAAGACAGATTGAGATTATACACCATCAATGCAGCCAGATTTTGCAGGCCACTGTCCATAATGGCTACAGATCAGTATCATTAAATAATAATAATAATAATATCTTTATTGTCATTGCCCCCTCTCGGGGCAAAGTAATATCTATTCACAGAATTCTCACATAAGAGAACAGATAAATGCTGCTAATATTTATCTACACCTATCTGGAGGCGGGCTTGTTTATATTCAATGCTGAATCAATACATTGTCTGTTTAGAATGAAACTCTGCATAAATATGAATTAGGGTTCTTCCCCCCTTTTTTTTCTAGAAGCAAAAACTTAAATTTATTCTCTGCCAACAGCTGCATCTTGTCAATGACTGTAACAAAGGAAGAGGGTGATGATATGTGCTGTTGGGGCTGTACTTTCATTATACACAATCAGAATTGTAACAAGCCAGTTCTTTTGAAGTTTCTACAGTATTTGCTACTGCCTGATCTATTTGACTATCATTCTTTGTAATGTACATAGTGTAATACCTTGGATTCAGAGGAATTGGATTCATGAGGAATTTTCACAGCATGAAAAACAAACTGCAGCAAAGCACAAAAATTTAAAATAAAATGACCTTACACTAAGCAGATACTAAGCAAACAGAGATACCTAGAGAGATGCAGCAGTATGATTCTGAAAATTTACTGAAGTTCTCCTTTCTTAAAGCTCTGGAATTTAACATTTGGAGCAAAAATGTGCCAGGAAGTTTGAATGCATAAAAAATCTTCAGGTTTATTAGTTTAAAGTATTTGTGGAATGCTCTCCTTGGTGAGGCTCGCCTGGCTCCTTTATTACATATCTTTAGATGCCAGGCAAAAACATTCCTTTTCTTCCACACCTTTGACTAATTTAATGATCTATGGACTTTTAAACTGTGGGTGGGTGCATGGGGTATATAGTTTTTATTTTTTATTATGGTATATTTTTGTGTTTTTATCTTGTAAACTGCCGTAATCCTTGGATGAAGGGCGGGATAGAGATTTAATAAATAGCAATAATATATAATTAGAATTATAGATTGAAGTCTGCTATCTCTATACAGTCGTACCTTGGATCCTGAACACCTTGGTACTCAGACATTTTGGCTCCCAAACGCTGCAAACCTGGAAGTGAGTGCTCCAGTTTGTGAATGTTCTTCTGAACCCGAACGTTTGACGGGCCTTCTGTGGCTTCCGATTGGCTGCAGGAGCTTCCTGCAGCCAATCAGAAGCTGCATTTTGGTTTCTGAACCTTTTGGAAGTTGAACGGACTTCTGGAATGGATTCCGTTTGACTTCCAAGGTACAACTGTATACTTGTAAACCA